AGTCAGAGTCTTGTTCTGTCATCAGGCTGAGGTGCAGTGATAAAAATCACAGCTCACTGTAACCTCAAAACTCCTGGGCTCAAGTGATTTTCCTGCCTCAACCTCCTGAGTAGCTCAGGCTATTGGTACTCACCACCATGCCTAAATTAGCTTGGCTAATTTTTAATTTTTTTGTATTTTGTAGAGATGGGGTGGGTGGTCTCCCTATGTTGCCCAGGCTGGTCTTGAACTCCTGACCTCAAGCAGTCCTCCTGTCTTGGCCTCTCAAAGCACTAGAATTATAGGCATAAGCGATGGTTCCTGGCCATCCTTTTTACTCCCTGTGGACATAAGCATCCACAACTCTGCCCTCCCAACACATTCATGTTCATTCGTTCATTCATTCATTCATTTTCTCTTTCATTCCCTCTCTCTCTCACACACACACACACGCATGCACATACAGCAGTCCTACGCCACTAACTCAGCAGTCATTACCACGCAGCTATATATTATTTCTTCTTTCATGTTCCACTGGGTCTATTACATTACTATTTCAGTAGAATCTTAAAAAAAGATTACCACAACAGATAAGGCACTGGTATGATGGCTTAATTTTGGGAGAAAAGTCAATCCTGAACGAACTTGGTAATCCCGGAATCCTCCAGCTACAGAAAGTGTGGTTAAATTTATTTGTCGAGCATTTAGAATCCAATAGTTGTTTACAGTCATATAAAAATCTGGTAGGGAATAAAAAAGAGACATTAAAAAATAGTAGCCATTCCCTGCAACAAGATATTTATACAGTAATATTAATATTTAACTGAATTTGTCCTTAAGTCATTTCATCTATAAAGAGTGTGTTATTCACATTTCCCTATTTTCAGTAAAATCAGTATCTTTACACATATTCCAGCTTCCTCATTAAATCAAAGTGCAAATACTAAGAGTTACTAAAGGCATTAATTGAAAAAAGATACCCAACTAGCTTCGGATCCATATGCAAATACCTTTCCACATTCCACAAGGATGAGGCTTACTCATGAGTCACACGGTATAGCAAAAAGGGAAAACCCTAATATTCTTCCAAAGATAAGAATTTACTATGCTACTGTTGCAGACATTTGTGGTGTTGGCTTCATGGTATATGCACATGTTCAAACCCATCAAACTGTATATATTACATATGTGCAGTATTTAATATATCAATTACCCTCAATATAATGTGTTTTTTTAAAGGGAAAAAAAAAAGAGCTGTAGACCCCTCCCCATGATGGCAGTATCCCATCTTAAAAAGGCTTAGTAAGTCTCTTCTGTGGCCAACCACCATAACAAAGTACTATTTAAATTCTTACAATCTATCAGGACAATACTACTGACATTAGTCTTAGGACTACGCTGCTGTGGAAAACCTCAGGGTTAGGGTTCAACCCATTTAGTGTAACATGTAGTTCAAAGGGAAGAACCTGCAGACAATTTTTCACTTTGTCTATTGAGGTGAGAAAATTCTAGTGTCAAAGACTAAACAGAGGCTAGGGCAGGGGATTTCTCAATTCTTTTTCTGATTATCAAAACTTAATGCATTTTTATCCTGGCATTTGATCCCACTCAGGGTTCCAAACATTGGGTACAGCAAGCTTCCCCCATTAAAGATCCCAGCAGTACTTACTTAGATTACCACCTAGCAGACTGACTCTTAACATCTGGAGAACCTGGGATGTAAGTATCAGTGGGGCACACATGACATATAATAGTTTAAAAAATAAAAAATCCAGCTAATAACCTGTTAAATCAAATATAGTTTTTTCTGCCTATTTTGAAAAATATATCATTGAAATAACCTGGAAGGCCAGGTTCAAATTAAGAATTCTCAGACACCTCAGAGTTAGCCACTGGATGGTGGCAGAATGGAGGGGAGCAGATCTCTAGCCTCTTACTGTGCTTCTCTTCCCATCCCAGTTCGATCCCGCATGGCAAGGGCCTCATGTGCACATGCAAGCTCTGTCTGTACTTCCTGCAGAGCTATGCCTTGGCCACAGCTCAAGCTTAGGATTCTACATACCTGCCCTCAGCAGAACAAAGAAAATGAAGAGACCCACACAGGTCTTGGAAGCAGGCTTGGGGCATATAGACAAGAAAAGTCTGGAGGCTTGGTTAGCTAGATCACAGTGTAGAAGTAAAGACACAGGCTCCACATGGGGAAGCTACTTAGCCTTCATGCTTCTCATACTGTGGGAAAGGGTAGGGGCTGAGCAACAGGAACTTCTAAAGTGCAGATCCTAGTGCAAGGTCTCCTTCCTCCTATTGAAAGGCAGTATTTTCACCAAGTATAAACAGGAAATCTACTTGAGAGGTCACATAGACCTCTGTCTCTCAAAACCTTAAAATTTTCATTCTAATTTTGACTTAGTAAAATAAAGTGAATAAATCTAGAATAAAAGGAAAGACAATTACTAATTACAGGAAAGACATCCTAACTTTAAGAATCACTTTCAGTCTGAGCCTTTTAGAGACAAAACAGTGCCACCCTCCAAAGCAATAAAACCTATTGAAGGTACAGTCCTCAAATAATTTTTAAAATATATTTGAGTCATTCTTATTTAATCTACATGGCTCATCTACATATACCATATAAAATGCAATAATATAAAGAGTTCTCAATTACGGTGACAAGTACTGACTTTTAGCCTTTAATTTTTTTTTTCCCAAACCTAAGGTCATTTAAGATTATTAGACTACAACAAATTTAAACAACTTCATTATTTTAAAATTGAAATGTTTCCTCATTAAAAGACTTCTACAGGCAAAAATTTAAATATACTAACTGAAAAACTGAGCCTCATAATAATTACCATTGCACCAGATACTTAACAGAAAATAAATGATTCTTTGGCAATGCTGTTATGTTAAGATGAGCACTTTAGAAAAACTACTTTGGTATGGAGTCACTGGTGAATATTTCTCACTTAACTACAATCAAAATTTTCATCAAAATTAAGATAATGCAAATTTTAATAGGTAAGAAGCTATATACATTTACTAACCAGGAAGAATTCTTTCTAAAGATTTTCTTCTATTCATATAATATTCCTATAAGCAGTGAGGATAATGTTTAGTTTTTTGTTGTTTTTTTTTAGCAAGTTGAGATAACTGGTATTTAATTCTTATTTTGTGACATTATCACTATTTGATTAGACGACATCAATCACAAACTTCCACTTTTCATTCAAAATTCCTGCAAGATTATAGTATTATCTGCGGTTTTATTTCCTATGTTAATGTACTTCAATTAAGAGACAGTACAGCATGCACAGGTTAAGAGCACAAGGCCAGAAGCAAGTTTGTGAGGGTCAAATATTGGTTTCACTACTTTCTTGCCACATGACTCTGGGCAAGAACTTTACCTTGGCCTTTTTCTATCCATAAACATGAAGATAATAATGGTACCTACCTCACAGGACTGCAGTGAGGATTAAGCATGGTAATATATCATATGAAGTCTTTAATACCCAAATTATAATGAGTTCAATAAATATTAGGAATTATACCTCATTAAATAAAGTGTTAGTATACCTATGTATTTAAAAACTAGACATTGCTACTATTCTACTTAAATGTAAGCTTATTTTTGATACAGTCCTAAAACAGTTAACAAAGCATAGGAAGTTTAAACACATCTTAAGAGACAGGGTATCGTCCTCAAAAATAACTAAACTGGCCAGGCATGGTGGCTTATACCTGTCATCCCAGCACTTTGGGAGGCAGAAATAGGCAGATCACTTGAGGTCAGCAGTTTGAGATCAGCCTGGCCAATATGGTGAAACCCTGTCTCTACAAAAAATATAAAAATTAGTGGGGATGGTGGCACACACCTGTATTCCCAGCTACTTGAAAGGTTGAAGCATGAAAATCGCTTAAACCTGGGAGGCAGAGGTTGCAGTGAGCTGAGATTACACCACTGCACTCCAGACTGGGTGAATGAGCAAGACTCCCTGTCTCAAAAACAAACAAACAAACAAACAAAAACTAAATGGAAGCCCTAGCTCCTGGGAATTATAAAACACATGTCAACCATATTAAGATGCTATGGAAACAGAAAACATAACAGTAGTTTCAATTATAAGCCTAAGTTCAAAGATTTAAAAAGAGAGACACTCAGAATTGGAAGTGCTGGTTTGCAATTGAGTTGCTTCATACATGGATACATCTGTAGCATACTCTAAGGGGAATAGCTGTAGGGATTTATTTATTTAATCCTAAACAACAATAGGCAGGTCAGCTAATGTTTATGTAACAGTACTCACCTGTAATGAAACGATCTAATGGCATCACAGGAGCAACATGAGGTGTGGCTTGTGTAATAAGAAGATTTATCAGATCATGCTTAAAATTCGTCAGTGTAAGCAATGCTCTTGCAACAAGGCCACCCATAGAATGACCAATTATTGCCACACTTTTTGGAGCAAATTCTTGACCCTATTAAAAGAAATCACCATGTCATAATTAAGCTTAGTATCATTTAAAAAATACTAAATAGTTCTCTCTGCATATGAGCAATTTTATAGGAAAAAGAAAATCAAACTATATCAGCTCCCATCATAAGGTACAGAAATACATTTTCATATAGTTTTAATTAGTGTATACATACTATTTTGTGTTCTGCCAAACATTCTTAATAGGTATATCTTGGTTTTCTAAGCCAATGGGAACACTTGGTCGAGCAAATCATGTTTATACTAGTTGTTACACTACATGTCATCTGAGGAGTAATTATATTTGGTATGTAACAGATTATTAGGTTTTACAAGACATACAAAATCAGATCATTTGTTTGAAACTTAAAATACTACCCAAAAAAAAAAGCCAAGACAATTACAGTTGTGATAGCAATATACTACCTTATCATGTTAACTTTATTATTATTATTATTATTATTGAGATGGAGTCTTGCTCTGTCACCCAGGCTGAAGTGTAGTGGTGTGATCTCAGTTCACTGTAACCTCTGCCTCCTGGGTTCAAGCAATTCTCCTGCCTCTGCCTCCCAAGTATCTGGGACTACAGGTGTGTGTCATCAAAACTAGCTGAATTTTTGTATTTTTAGTGGAGATGGTGTTTCACCGCACTAACCAGGATGGTCTCCAACTCCTGACCTCATGATCCACCCACCTTGGCCTCTCAAAGTGCTGGGACTACTGGCATAAGCCACCGAGCCTGGCCCATGTTGTTATCTTTTATCTCATCCAATTATTTCTCTATTGTGCATTTAGGTTTAAAAGTGAAACAGCATTCCAAATATTTATTCACTGACAATTACATATATTTTATTTTTTAGAGAAGTGCTTTTCAAAAAGATCTTTTGTTTTCACCAATCTCCTCAGTCTCATTACCATACTTTAGCTCATCATCTCCAACACTGATCCTTCCTACATACCATCTCTTCTCAATGAGTAGACTGAATCTTGTGCAGAAGAGTTAACATGGGAGGCCTGAGACTGCTGTCCTTGGCATGGACTGGATACAAGGTTGGCTCTCGGCTGGAATCTGGAACCTTATATTTGGGGGAGATTCCCACCATTCCCTAAATGATAAGAGTGACTAAACTGCTTGTGCAAACAACATGTTTGATGCTGAACACCTGCTGTCCTCCAGACTGGAATTTTGGTATGTGCTAGGCAGAGAGTATCTGTGTGATACGACCCCAGTAAAAACCATGGGCACTGAGTCTCTAATGAGCTTCCCTTGTGGACAGTATTTCAGCAATGTCATAATATGCTGATTTAGGAATCAAGCGAGTCCTTGGTGATTGCCAAATACAGACCTGATCTTAGCAAAAGCCAGCCCCTACAACTGTGCTCTGAAACCTGTCCCCTTTGACCTTCTCAAGTACATCACTCTAGCAATCCTTTTCATCTTCTTGCATTATTGCTTTTCTCTCTCTAGATCATTTTCATTAGTGTATAAATATACTGGTATTCTCTCTTAAAATACTTGTATTCTCCAGTATATCACTCTAGCAATTAGTGTATAAATATACTGTCATTAATGTATAAATATATTGTTATTCTCTTTTAATATACTTGTATTTTCAAGTACATCACTCTAGCAATCCTTCTCTTGCATTATTGCTTTTCTCTCTCTAGAACATTTCATTAGTATATAAATATATTGTTATTCTCTCTTAAAAATAACTCCCTTTTAATTCTCACTTTCCCCTTAGTAACTTCTCTACATTTCTTTACAGCAAATCTCTAAAAACAAGTTGCAGGCCAGGCACAGTGGCTCATGCTTGTAATCACAGTACTTTGGGAGGCCAAGGCGGGTGAATCACTTCAGGTCAGGAGTTCAAGACCAGTCTGGCTAACATGGCAAAACCCAGTCTCTACTAAAAATACAAAAATTAGCCAGGTGTGGTGGCATGTGCCTGTAGTCCCAGCTACGAAGGAGGCTGAGGCATGAGAGTCACTTGAACCCAGGAGGCAGAGGTTGCAGTGAGCCAAGATCATGCCACTGCATTCCAGCCTGGTGACAGAGTGAGAACCTGTCTCAAAAAACAAACAAAATAAAAAGCAAGTTGTATACACAGTACTTGCGGTCTCCAATTTCTCAACTTCCACACATTCTTAAATCCATTTCAATCAGACTTTTACCCCAACATGCCACCAAAACTGTCCTTGCCAAATCACCAACGAATCCAACGGCCAATTCTTAATTCTCTTAATTCTTTTTCTTTTCTTTTTCTTTTATTTTTTTGAGACAGGGTCTTACTCTGTCACCCAGGCTGGAGTGCAATGGCACAATCATTGGGGCTCACTGGAGTCCCAATCTCCTAGGTTCCAAGCAGATCCTCCTATCTCAGCCTCCCAAGTAGCTGGGACTACAAGCATACACCACCACGTCCAGCTAATTTTTTTTTTTTTTTTTTTTTTTTAGGCACAGGGTCTCCCTATGTTGCCTAGGCTACAATGGACAATTATTAATCCTCATCTTATTTGACCTATTAGCAGCGTTTGACACAGTTGATCACTTCTTCCTTCTTTGAAATATTTACGTTAGTTTATTTGACAACAAACTCTCCTGGTTCTCCCTTTACCTCACTGGCTACTCCTTTTTAGTTTCTGGTTCTGCTTCCTTCTCTTCTCTCCTCATTTTTTTTTTCTTTTCTTTTCTGAGATGGAGTTTCACTCTTTTTGCCCAGGCTGGAGTGCAATGGCGTGATCTCGGCTCACTGCAACCTCTGCCACTCAGGTTCAAGTGATGCTCCTGCCTCAGCCTCCTGAGTAGCTGGGATTACAGGCATGTGCCACTATGCCTGGCTACTTTCATATTTTTAGCAGAAACAGGATTTTTCTATGTTGGTCAGGCTGGTCAAGGCTGGCCCAACCTCAGGTGGTCCACCTGCCTTGGCCTGGGAAAGTGCTGGAATTACAGGCATGAGCCACCAGGCCCAGCTGTCTCTCGTCATTTCTTAAAACTGAAGTGAATCAGGCCTCAGTCCTTAGATCACTTCTTTTTCATATCTTTGTTGATCTCTTCCAATCTAGTGGCTTTAAATAGATCTACACACTGTCAACCCCCCAGTAATTATCTTGAGGCTATACCGCTTCTCTTGAACTCTAGCCTTGAACACCACCTGCACAGTAACATACATGGAATGTCTAATGTGCATCTCAAACTGAATCTGTCTAAAACTAAATTCTTAATCTCCTCCAAATCTGTCCCTCCTACATTCTTCCCTACCTCAGTTAACGGCAGTCAATCTTTCCAGTTGTTTAGCCAAAAAACTTGGGGTCATCCTTAACTCTTCTTTTCCTCTCACTATGCCCTTCCATATCTGATCTGCCAGCAAATTGTAATGTCTCAGCCTTTAATTTCTCATCACTTCAACTGCCACCACCTTGATTTAAACTACCACTATGCCTTGAACACACCCCACCACTTCCTCCTTAGCATGCCACTGTTTTATAACTACTTTTCCTGTGTAGTATGGCATTCAAAGATTGAAAAATGTGCATTTTTAGAGTCCCTTTCTTTGCCTCACTCTCTTCTTTCTCATACCGTGTCACATTTAGCTGCTTCAGCAGCCCTCAATTTCAAGTCTCTACTTTCTTTAGCTAAGTGATAACAATGTTGCCCCATGGTCTGGAAAATGCTTCCAGGCAAAAAACCAGAGCAATCATGGGGCTCACTTCTTCCAGGGATCACAGTCCTTTGCTGTTCTGTTGTCCAGCATCTTAAATCGGGTGCCTCAGATATCTTGACCAGTTTTACTTTACAGTTGTTTACAAATGCAGGTAGTCATAGCTAGAGGCAGAAATCTATACTAATGGTTTTTAGGTAATGCATCACACTCTTAATTTATATATATATAGTTTTAAAAAGTTTTTCTTCCTGAATTCACCATAAGAAACATTTCTTATAAATTTAAACTTCAAAACCATTACTGAGACCAAGACAAAAGACTCTCACAAAAAAATCTTTGTGGCATCTCTGCTTCAACTTCCAATACATGATTTAAAGTATACTGAATCCCTTTTTTAAAAAGATGCTGATAGGTTGCACCACTATTGATTTGCATACTTATCTCTCACCTTATAGAGTTTGAGAATTGTTTTAATACATTCATGTACAAACTTGGTCTGCTTCTGAAGACTTCCGCCATACAGTGCCACCAGTTCTTCATTGAAGTTCACACTAAAGAAGTCAAAGTGGTACTTGAAGTCAATGTCCTCTGCTTTTCTAAGTGCGATGGAGCCAATAGAACGAACTGTGGAGGAAAAGAATGAAGTGCACATTAAACAATACCTTTTTTTAAATTTTGAGATGGAGTTTTGCTCTTTGTTGCCCAGACTGGAGTGCAATGGTGAGATCTCAGCTCACTGCAACCTCCGCCTCCTGGGTTCAAGTGATTCTCCTGCCTCAGCCTCCCAAGTAGCTGGGATTACAGGCATGCGCCACCATGCCTGGCTATTTTTGTAGTTTTAGTAGAGATGGGTTTTCTCCATGTTGGTCAGGCTGGTGTTGAGCTCCCAACTTCAGGTGATCCACCTACCTAGGCCTCCCAAAGTGCTGGGATTACAGGTGTGAGCTACTGTGTCCTGCCCTAAACAATACTTTTAAGTTTCATCCCTTCTTTCTTCAGAATTTCTTTAAAAATAACTTTATTCTGCAACTCAAATATAAACCACCTATTTCAGGAAGAAATTCATTAATAGTACCAATTGAGAACAAACTAACCTAGCAACTGTATGCGTTGAATGCAGTAACTATGCCCTAAATATTTTTAAAATTAAATAAATAAAAAGCAAGCAGATCACTTATTCTACCTTCTTTTTGTTGTCCTAATCCAACACCATTATCTCTTGTCTGAACTACTCTAACAGTTTCTTTACTCGTCCCCCTGCTTCCACTCTTTTTGTTCTTATTGTTTTGCAGATCTTTTTAAAACTTTTATTATAAACTGCTTAGATGGCATAAAAAATTGTAGCATATGGTTTAGCAAACAAAATACCTGTCTGCAATTTCATTTTTAAAAAACATATACAATAGATGCATTATAATCCACATATTATACAACTTACTATATAAACTGTAAAATTAAATGGTTGTTAGTATATTCACCATCTCTGGTATATATTGTATAACCATCTCTGAAATATAACATTAGGTATTTTTTAATTACTTCAAAAACAAAACTCTGTGCCTACTGGCAGTCACTCCCCATTTCTTCATTCCTCCCAACCTAGAGGTGGCAGTGCAGGCCTAACAAGCACTGATCTACTTTCTGTCCCTGTGAGTTTGCCTCTTCTGGACATCTCGTATAATATGTGGCCTTTTGGAACTGGCTTCTTTCACATAGCACGATGTTTTCAAGGTTCATCCATGTTGTGGGAGGTATCAGAACTTCATTCCTCCTTTTTATTGAATAATATTACATTGTATGAAGATGTCACGTTTGATTTATCTCTTCATCAGCTGAGGGCCATTTAAATTATTTCCACCTTTTGGTTATTATACGCTGCTATGAATGTTTATATACAAGTTTTTGTGTGGGTATGTGTTTATTTTTCTTGGGTAGATACCTAGGAGTGGAATATTACATGATAGCTCAGTGTTCAACATTCTGAGGAACTGCCAAACAGTTTTCCAAAGAAGCTGCACATTTTACATTTCCACCAGCAATGTATGAGGATTCCAATTTCCCTGCATCTCCACCAACACTTGTTGTTATGTCTTCTTTTTTACAACTATCCTAGTAGGTATGAAGTGGTATCTCATTTTTATGTATAGTTCTCTGATGACTTACGATGTTTTAGTATCTTTCCTGCTTCCACTCTTGCCCTGCAAAGGAAAGTCTCTTCATAGCGAAGCCAGAGTGATCTTCTTTTTAAAAGTAAATCACATCTACCAGATTGCTTAAAAATTTAATATCTGACAATTCCAGTGTTGTAAAGGACATGTTGCAAAGGAAAGTAAAATATACTGCTTATAAGAATATAAATTAGCACAGTCAGTAAAGATTAAAAAGATACACATAACCTATAACATGGAATTACACTCTTAGGTATGTATCTTACAGAAGCATAGTATCTTCACGACACATATGGAATAATATTCATTATTTGTAATCGCCAATAAATGTAAACATTTATTCTGTCCAAAGACAGAATGGACAAACCATGGTATGGTCATACAACAGAAATAATAGAGAATAAGGAAAATGAACTTGGATGAATTTTAAAGATAATGCTGAGTGGAAGAAGCCGGACACAAAAGAATACATACTGAATGACTATATTCATATTACAAAATTTAAAAACAGCCTCAAATAAATAGACCATATTAAGCAAAACTACAAAGAAAGTTAAGGAAATTACTATCTTAACATTAGGATTGTAATTATATCAAGAAAGAGAGGAGGGAGTTTTAACCATGAAGGGGCACATAAGGGGTTTCCAGGTCACTGGTAATCTACTTCTAGACTAAGGTTTGGTTTCATGGGTATTTACTTTATAATAATTTGTAAACAAATATCTATGTCCTATGTATTTCTATGTATGTAATATTTCAAATACAAAGATAAATTTTAAAAATCAGATTATATTTTTCTTACTCAAAGCCCTCCAACAGTTTCTCATTCATTCGAAGTCTTTTCCACAGCCTATGTGATATGGCCTGTGGCTACTTTTCCAGTCTTATCTCTTTTCGCTTTCTCTAGTCACAGTAACCTTGAATGCACAAAGCATGTTCCTGCCTCCTGATTTGCTTCCCTAATCAATGCTTCCCTCGGTCAAACCTCTCCTCAAACGTCATCTCCTCACAATGGACTTTCCTGACCACCTCATCTAAACTAGCCACCTCCTGACCCTTTTATATTCTACCACCTTAGTCTGTTTTTCTTTCTAGCCTTTAACATTACTGACATATTTGTTTGATCACTGTCCTCCCAATAAGCATATAAATTTGATGAGAGAGGGACTTTATCTGTCTTGATATGCTCTGGATCCCTAGTATCTAGAACACAGCCTGGCTCATGGTAGATACCTGTAGATACGTGCTAGGTGAATAAACACGTAAATAACTGCACATGTTGAAACAATTCCAATCCATTAAATAAGAAAGCAGGTTTTAGTTTAAAACAAAATTAATTCCCGTTTATTTAGCTGTTATGCCAGAAATAACCGCTATATCTCCAAGCCAACATCAATTTGGAATCTGTACATGCAATTTCCCTATCCTTACCTTTCTATGTGCCTCCCAATACTTTCAGATCTCTCTAACTTAAATAACTCCAAAAGAAGGAAACTAATCTCTCTTATTTTGCATAACATTAGCCACTGATTTACTTCCCTAATCAATGCTTAAGCTTCTGTTCTCTTTACCATTCATTTCCAGCAGAAATGTGTTTCCTCTGCTGATTCCCCAAGGGGTTCCCCCTTTATCATCTACTCATCCCATCCCACTCCATCTTATTCTTTTTATTTCTCTCTTTGCAAAGTGGTCTTCAATTTTTCTAAGTACTTCTCACATGTATTCTCTCAGAAAATGTCATATTTTGGTCTCTCTGTAAGCCCAATATAGTACTTCAAACACAGCATGCATTTCATTTACTTTATTTGATTCACTGAGTATGGATATGATTCAAATTTTTTGAGTTGAATTTTATAGCTTTCAAAACTTACTTCCAGTGAAACTTACCTTGTTTATAACTTCCAGCATTACCAGGAAGAAAGAGAACTGGAATACCCGTCAAAGGGAGAATTTTGTGTTCTTCAGCATAGGATCCTTCTCCATAAAGATATAACTCATATGCTGGATAGCGTTTTGCCAGTTTCTTTGGAAGTTCTATTTTCTACATTTAAAAAAATGTAGTTTCACTTTAATCAATTTTATTAATACAGTTCAGCCTCATCATATACAATTCTGAATTATGCAAATTTGAAATAGTACAATATAAAATATTACTGATATTAAAACCATACTTCATACACAAAACAAGTTCTACTTGCAGTTTATTCATATAGAGAATCGATCTTGAATTGCGTGAATTTTGAAACATGTAGTCTTCAGGAAAACGTAAAAGAGGACTAATTGAATTTCTAACCAACACAAATTACTCAAAATGGCCACTGACAATGGCAGAAAGCACTGGTATATGTCAACAAGTTACATGTTAACATAATTGGATAAGTATCAATTATACTTCAAAATGATAAAGGCTTTCTATCATCAAATCTTTTTTTCCATTTTTAACTATTTTGAAATGTCTCTTTTACTCAGACCCAACTATATATTTCAGTTGTTACAGCTTCAAAAGAAAGTACATCGTTTTACAATGTAGCTTACAATTTAATATGCTTTGGCCTACAATATGCTTAACAAATTAATCTGAACCTTATAGCCATGTCTTAGTCAAGATATGTACACTCTTCTTACCATAAACATTCCGGTGAATTAGTATCTATTTCAGTTTTCATGGACCAGGTAAATGGTGTGTTGGCAAACCTTAAACTACTCTGCAATTCATGTTATTGTATACCAATAACACAGCAGCTCACCTAACTACTCAGTCAGTAGCTCACCTAAATTTTTTTCAGCGTAGTATAAATTATCTAAGGTCATCCTGAAAGGTAGACATCTATAAAAGCGGTAGTAAAGTATACATACACCCTTTTGCTCCTTTTCTTTTTTTTATTTTAAAGGACAGAAACCATTAAGAATGAAACCAATTACATTGGACAGTAATGTCTACATAGAGCTAGCAGTGCTGTACATGTGGTATGTGCTTGATAAAAGAATTTAACTACAAAGTGAATTTCAAAACCTGTAAATGTTGCTAATGACTGCTGAAAACCCTCATTGTTCCAAAAACAAAAAAATTCTGATCATTTGTGCACCTTCCTAAATATCCCTTTGAGGATATTAACATAAATAATCTATGCCAATAACACCATGGAAACATCTGCAGAGACTGTAAGCTTAAGATACTAGCAACCTTAGTTATCTCCCCAAAAACTTAAAATACAGAAATAATAACCCACTATTTCTTTTATATTTAATACATGTACTTCAATTCAAATTAGTCCCAATACTGATTGTGCACAGTATATTGATTATATTTTGAATATAATCAAAACTGAAAATGACACAATTGTTTACCTCTCTAGGTACAAATTAAACAAAAAGAAAACAGGGTTGGGCATAGTGGCTCATGCCTGTAATCCCAGCACTCTGGGAGGCTGAGGCAGTTGGATCACGAGGTCAGGAGTTCAAAACTAGCCTGATCACCATGGTGAAACCTTGTCTCTACTAAAAACATAAAAGTTAGCTGGGCATGGTGGCACATGCCTATAGTCACAGCTACTCAGGAGACTGAAGCAGGAGAATCGCTTGAACCCAGGAGGTGGAGGCTGCAGTGAGCCAAGATCCAACCACTGCACTTCAGCCTGGGCCACAGAGTGAGACTCTGTCTAAAAAAAAAAAAAAAAAACCATAAGAGAACAGTAGCTAAACAAAGTTTGGACTAGTTGAAAATTAACTCAAAAACAGGAAACTATCAAATATATCTTAAAAAAAAATTTAATTTTCTTGAGACAGAAAAGGAAGCAACAAAATACATTTGATATATTTCATAAAATACTATTGTGAAAGCAATTTTATAGTGAGAAAGAATATTTTTTAAAATATGAATGTATACAGCGTTTTTTAAAAAAGTATGGAGATAGAAAAAGAAGTTAGAACAAAAAAATAAGAGAAGAGGCAAGAATGGTGGGAGTTGTAGGCAAATGGTAAAACTCCATTTCCAGACAGAGTTCAAGTTGAAAGGGAGTAGGAAAGACTCAGGAGAGGTAATTTACCAGATTGACAGAAAAGGTATAGGCATACAAAAAGGATGCTGATAAGAAAATAGAATATGGTCAAGGGATTTTAAAAGGAAAATACTTAAGGGAGCAAGACTCCAATGTAAATTTTTTATTCCATAAAGTTTTGTTCAGTTTTTTGTTTGTTTGTTTGTTTGTTTTTTGAGACGGAGTCTCGCACTGTTGCCCAGGCTATAGTGCAGTGGCGTGATCTCGGTTCACTGTAGTCTCCGCCTTCCGGGTTCAAGCAATTCTCCTGCCTCAGCCTCCCAAGTAGCTGGGACTACAGGCATGAGTCACCAAGCCCAGCTAATTTTTTTTGAATTTTTAGTAGAGATGGAGTTTCACCATGTTAGCCAGGATGGCCTTGAACTCCTGACCTCGTGATCTGCCCACCTTGGCCTCCCAAAGCGCTAGGATTACAGGCGTGAGCCACCGCACCCAGCCTCTATATAGTTTATTTTAAATAAGCAACTCTTCCATATTAAGATCAATTACCTTTATATTTAAATATTATCTCCACAATCCTAACTCTCCTGTCCTCCTTCGTTGACTCTACTTTAGTGTGAGTTCTTCTTAACTCTACATCTCTCTCAAAAGACAAAATTTTTAACAAACTCCCAAGTACTAGAAAAACATTGATTTAAGAAACTAAAGTATCTATGATATTACTTAATTGTGAACTTAAACTGAAAAATAAAGTTTGATCTCCATAACTAACCAAAAAGAAAAACAACTTTGATCAAGATTCATACACAGTTTTTAAGATCTCTCGAAGGGCTCTCAGTCAGCCCTTTGCTCACCACCCCTGATAAGAGTAGTTCTAGGGGCGGCTGGGCAGAGCGGCTCATGCCTGTAATCCCAGCACTTTGGGTGGCCGAGGTGGGTGGATCAAGACCCACCTCGATCATGTTGGCCAGGCTGGTCCGGAGGTCGAGACCAGTTTGGCCAACATGGTGAAACCCCGTATATATTAAAATACAAAAATTAGCTGGGCATGGCAATGCATGCCTGTAATCCCAGCTAGGTCAAAGGCTGAGGCAGGAGAATCCCTTGAACCAGGGAGGAGGAGGTTGCAATGAACCGAGATCGTGCCACTGCACTCCAGCCTGGTGACAGAGCTAGACTCCTTCTAAAAAAAAAAAAAAGGCCTTAAGGACAACTGAATTTTTCAGATTTGTCTCTCCTTGCATAGTCTCCCTTCTATAATTCATAGTTCACACTAACACATACACACACACGGCTTAAGAGAGAGACCTTTAAAATCTAGCTCTAATAATTCTTACCTACTTTTTTTTTTTTTTTTTTTTTTGAGACAGGGTCCCACTCTTGTTGTCCAAGCTGCAGTGCAGTGGTGCAATCTTGTCTCACTGCAGCTTCGACTTCCCAGGCTCAAGTGATCCTCCCATCTCAGCCTCCTTAGCTGAGACTACAGGTGGCCCAGGCCATCACACTTGGCTAATTTTTTTTTTTTTTTTTTAAGTAGAGACAGGGTTTCGCCATGTTATCCAGGCTGGTCTCTAACTCCTGGACTCAAGTTATTCGCCCACCTTGGCCTCCCAAATTGATAGGATTACAGGTGTGAGCCACCTCACCCTGCCCTTACCTACTTTCTTATAACTTACACGACATGTTTTAAAATGTATTTTTAATATGTTTTTGAATTCAAGATTCAAAAGGATATACATTGAAAAGGATCTCTCCTGCCCATGGTCCTTCAGCCATCCAGTTGACCTACCCTAGAAGGCAACCTGTTATCAGTTTGTGTGTGCTTCTAGAAATATTTCACATATATATAAGCAAATATGTTTATAGATTTTAGTTTTGATATAATGGTAATATATTATAAATACTGTTCATGCAACATGTCCTGGTGCATTACCACCTTCACATATACTATTCATGCCTGCAATGTTCTTTCAGTACTTTATACACCCTCCATGGCCCAATTCACTTTGCATCTTCTCTAAAGCCTTTGAACACCCAAGACAAACTTGGAGGCTCTCCTTTCTGTGAAAAGCTTTGTACATACTCTCTTATTGTGAAATTATAACAGTACATTATATCGTAATTATAAATTACATGTCCATTTCCCCCATTGTATTATAAAGACATAAAAACACAAGATATGATTTAGTTCTAATTCCCTTTCACCTACACTAAGTATCTAGATATACCTGGCAAAGTCTGCTCATTCAATAAATGACTTTCTAAATAAATAACACACTTAATAACAAAATATATGACTTTTTTTTATGAGACAGAGTCTTGCTCTCACCCCACCTAGAGGGCAGTGGTGGCACGATATTGGCTCACTGCAACCTCCGCCTTCTGGGTTCAAGTGATTCTCCAGCCTCAGCCTCCTGAGTAGCTGGGACGACAGGCACACACCAACATTTTCTTCCAGAGAGCAACCATTAGGGTACACATATGAAGATAGCCAAAAAAATCACTGTATGAGAGAAAACAACTCAGATGTTTCTTCTAAAATCCTACAATTTGCCTAAAACCATTTGCTAACAAATAAAAGTTTTGCCTTGCTGTCATAACAGGGCAAGAAGCTTTAAAGGATAAAGTATATTTGCCTCACAGGTTTGAGATATGGGCTCGTGAGATGTTTAATTAACTCCAAATAAGTGACTCTGGGAAAACCAGAGGTAGAAGATGAACAGAGATAATCAAACAATTTTAAATTCAAAACTTCATTTTTGCAAAGAGCTTCAAATTTATGGCCCATCTTTTTTTTTTTTTTTAAATGAAGAATAAAATTGAGTGCATTTCAACTACCTTTCTATTTCTGCTGGCTAGCTAAAGAAGATGCAAATAAGCAATAAAAAAGAAGAAAGGCATCAAAAACAGAAGAAAAGCCAATAACTTGGACATCTCACATCTGGGTATCAACCTGTGAACAATTAGAGAGCTGACTATAAAATATAATTAAAAGTAAGCAATACGTAAAATATCTTTAAAACATTTTTATTCATGGAAGCCATTTGGTTCTTAACAGAATGGTCTCATTTATTCAAAAATCTCACTATGTTCAAAATGAATCATTTCTATAGGCAGGTTTTATTGTATCTGTAAGATAACATGACCTGGTATGTGAAATAAACGAGACTAAGAATACAATATAAATACTATCATGAATTAACACAGCTTTTTATGTCATAAAAATAGAACCTCCTAAAAATCAAAAATTTCTATCACTGTGATTATTACTGTATTAGCAGATAGAAGTGTAAAATCCCAAAAAAGCAACTTCAATCAAAATAACTAGACCTACACTACCCAACAACAACAAAAAACCCAAAGAGCTCTTCACCATTAGCTACACTAATTTTCTGTCTTTCCAGTCAATTTTATGAGGCAGGAAATGCATCTGTGAGATCCATATGCTTTGTTCCCAACACTAAGGAGAACAATTTCTACTTCTGTGAATATTAAAATAGCTTCAATAATTGTAGGAAATCTAAAAATAAATGGGGATTAGTACTGTACTGTTCCAAAATGATTTGAACCAAACTCTTCAATGCAGTACAAAACTAAAGTGATTTACTTCAATCTACTGGGAGGTCCCTAATTATTAAACCAAACATAAGGAGGGAATTATGATAGCTCTATTTTCAGTTTTTAAAAAACTAAACTAAAAAGGTTTGCTTAGAAATGAACAGAGATAGCAGTAACATGTCAAAATCTCCTTCAATAGCATCCCTACCAAATGTTTCCACTCTCTTATCATCATAAATGCAAAACCAAGGTAAGGATGTAAACACAAATGAAATCTAAATTTACTAGAATTCTGTCCATAGGAAAGAATGTTATTCAGCAATTTAAACCTTTAGTAGTCTTAAGATCAAAATAATAGAAGAATCATCAAGTAATAGGCTTCCTCCATAATGACTTGTACAAAGAAGCAATCAGGACTTACATCCTTCACCCTAAAAAAAAACTGCTGTGATTTTAAGAGTATACTAAAAATGTATTTTACAATACATATTATAGTGCATATACATTTATGGTAGGGAATTACTATTATAATAGGTAGTCCGTAATTAAGAGATGCACTTAGAAATAAAAGAATCATTCGGAAAAAAAATCTTAGGACAGTTGTGTAATTTGTCTGCGCCTCTTTTTACATCGAGTCATGAATGAAATTCTAGATTCTACTATGCCGAACTAACGAAGCCATTGATTGAAAACATTCAAAATGGCATGGAAGCAATGCGGGTGGAGAGGAAAGGATCTTGTGTCTCTTAAACTCCGAACCCAGCGAGGAAAAAAAAAAAAAAAAAACAGCATCGTTTAATAGATTTTGCATGCAACTAGTAAGAGGCTCGGCAGCTGGGAGACATGGATAAACACAGGTATGCACACACAAGCAAGCCCACACACGCACAGCCCTTTAACCTGCAAAACAAGAGGATCCGCAACATCTTTTCAAGAGCGAATCTAGTTTCCAATTTCATAACTCACCGGCTTACCCTTAGGCAAAACCCTGGAGTCTCTAAAAACAGCCTTGGGAACTATCTAGCCAATATACACTCTGCAGACGCTCGGTCCCTTTCTAGAAATGCGAAATCTGACGCGCAAATCACTGGGCGCGAGGGGGAAGAATTTAGGCGCGTGGGAAGCAAAGGAAGGTCCTGGGGCACGGGTTAAGGCAGGAACGCGAGAGGAATGGAGCTTGGGTTTAGGGAGAAGGGTTGAGGTTGCCTCTCTGGGTGTGACCGGGGCTGGGCCCGGCCAGTCAGAAGACCTTGTGCCCAGGATTTGGGGCTGGGGAGAAGGTGGAGGGTCAGCGGAGTAACTACCAGGGCGACCACGAGGATCCTCTCGGGAATCGTCTAACAAACACCTCACCGTGGAGAAAGGACACAAAGCGTAAGTGAGGGGGACAGAAAGGGGATGCAGAGTCTCCCCGGGCGGAGAAAACAGAGGCGAGGACGGGACGGGGGCCCAGGAGGCGCCAAGAGCCAAGGCAGGATGAACCCACAGAAGGAAAAAGGCACCAGGGGCCAGAGTCTTGGAGCACCCGGCCAAGGAGAGGGCAGAACCTTACCTGATACTCCGGGTACTCAAACATGTAGCTCATACTGCACTTATTCTCCTCGAAGCCGAAAAAGACATCCCACAGCCCCAGCGTTGCCATGAAGACCATGAAGACATAAAACGCCAGGTTCCAGAGATTGACTGACTGAAGTAACATGGTGCCGTCGCCACCGCCGACGCCCCCTCTACCTCCGCCGCCGCCGCGGGGCCCCAAGCCCGGACTGAGCGAGCCCGAGGACTGTCCGACCGCCAGCCCCGGAGCCGAGCCCCAGCCGCGCGCGCCTGCGCTGATGCCCGGCCTGCCGGCTCGCCAGCCGCTCAGTGCGCCTGCGCGCACCAGGTCCGCGGCGCCTCTGGCCTGTCGACTCCCAGAGCTGTGGGAGGAGGAGATGTTGCAGCGGGAGCGCGAATCTGAGGGGGAAAAGGAAGTGGGAGAAAGCTGGGTGGGCTGGGCTGAAGGGTGAGGGGAAAGGAGGGAAGTGGGGAGGGAAAGGCGCGAGGAGTGGCTGGAGGGAGGGAAAGAAGAGGGAGCGAGGAGGCATCCAGAGGGGGATGGGCGGAGCGCGGGAGCCCTGGAGCCGAGCCTGGGTAGCGGAGAGGATAGGGCAGGAGGCGAGTATCAGATGGGTTAATCTGAGGAGGGGTCTAGAGCCCAGAGCCCAGAACCCAGAGGCGATTAAGGACTGAGAGCGGACAGAGGGAGAGGCGAGGAGGACTTTAAAAGCCCAGGGGTCATCAGCTGTCACGTCGCCAACGCCTCTCCCTGCGGCAGTTTATAAACCCTTCCCGTTCAATTTCGAAACGCCTCAGGCTTCCACAATTTCGGTTTTCCCAGTGGTAATAGAGCACACTCACAGCTCTCTGGAGCAATTAGCTTGAGGAGGGAACAAATGGCTTTATTTCCCCTTTTCCACCGCCTGCTTGGGCCCAGTAGGTAACAGCGCTTAAAAGCAGCGGCTCATAAAAAAACACCCACAGGCCGACGAGATTCTGCTCTTGGTATCAGATGAAAGCCTGAATCACAGAAAGCATCGTTAGTCCTTAAAAAATGTTACCAAAATATCCAACACGTATCCTGACGTCCCCAACAGGTATCTGCGTAATCAGCTTGACACCGACTCGCCTTGCTCCCCAGAACCTCCACCTCTTGGGGAATCGGTTCCACGTTAACTTGAGGAGATAATTTCGCCCAGCTTCCATTCAGAGTCATAGGTGATTTAATTCGTTTTGAAGAATTTCGGTTTTCTTTTGCACAAAGAAGGAGGTTAAAAAAAAAAAAAAAAAACAAAAAAAAAAAAAAAAAAAAAAAAGAAAAAAAAAAAAAAAAAAAAAAAAAAAAAAGTAGCTCGAAATCATAATCACGTGTAGCAGCTTCAAAACACTAGAATGTTAGGAGAAAGATGATCGCTCTTTAAAGCTCACTCAATCATAGATGATGTGTGTATGTGTGTAGCTAACTACAGGTTTCTTAGAATGGCATTTGGCACTCACTAACTGAATTTCACTGAACTTGGGCTGATTTTCTGGTATATTTTCCGCGCAGAGGAAATTTGGCTATGATACATAAAATCAAATAATTTTAAAACTATAAGGAAGCTTATAGTTTATCTTGTACAACACCCTGATATTCAGATTACAAAACTATGAAGGAGAGGTGAAGTGATCTGAAAATCAAAATATTCTTTACCTTACAGAGAAACAGTTGCAAGTCTAAACAAACACAGCTAGCTACTGAATGTGAAAAATTGATGACGATAGACAGAAATGGGGAAATGCAGAAACAGTTTCTTTTTTGTAAGGAGATAAGTCTGCAAGGGTAATTGCTAAGTAATATGTAATTGAAATGTGTCCTGTATGAGGTTTTTGTTTGTTTTGTTTTGTTTTGAGACCAGTCTTGCTCTGTTGCCCAGGCTGGAGTGCAGTGGCACCGCCTCCACCTCCCAGGTTCAAGCGATCCTTGTGCCTCAGCCTTCTGAGTAGCTGGGATTATAGGTGTGCACCACCAAGCCCGAATAATTTTTTTTTTTTTTTTTGAGACGGAGTTTCGCTCTT